TTACCCCTCACTTACCCCCCTCAACGACCCCCTCACCTTCGCTTAACAACTCTTCACTTACCCTCAACGACTTCACTGTTCTCAACGACTCACTGTTCTTCAACAACCCTCACTTTTCTCAACAACCCTCACTTTCCTCAACGACCTCACTTTCAACGACCACTGTTCCTCAACGACCCTCACCCTCAACGACCCCTCACTGTTCCCTCAACGACCCCTCAGTTTCCCCTCAACGACCCCTCGCTGTTCCCTCAACGACCCCTCACTTTTCCCTCAACAACCTTTCAAGCTTAACGACCATCATTATCAAAACACCCAATTAAGACATCAGCGACACTAACAACCGAACCAGGCAATTAGAGGTATGATGAATTAGTGATGTGGGTTAATTACTATACTTTATGCCCATAGGAAGAAGAGGAAGAAGACGAAGACAGAGAAGACGAAGACGGAGAAGACGAAGAGAGAGAAGACGAAGAAGAGGAAGATGAAGAAGAGGAAGATGAAGAAGAGGAAGATGAAGAAGACGAAGAAGACAAAGACGGAGAAGAGGAAGATGAAGAAGAGGAAGATGAAGAAGACGAAGAGGAAGAAGGAACGATTAAAAGAAAGAGGAAATGTGGAAGAGGAAGACACACAAGAAATGACGAATAAGAGGGAAAAGAAGAGGAAGTTAAAAAAAAAAAATAATAATAATAATAATACCAACACCAACAACAATAACAATAAAAATAATAACAATAATATATCCAGTTAATAGAAAAATTAATACTTGTGATAAACCTTTGAGAAACCATCTTCTTATCTTCAAATCCGACGATAAAATTCCCTAGAGTTTGGGGAAATTTCTTGACACATGGCGATTATGACCTCCAGATTTTAGGGGAATTTCGAGTAATTTTTCTAAAAGGTAAAAAGAAAATGCGGAAGATTTAAGGATTTTTATCAATATGTTACTGGGGGGAAAATACCCTGATTTTAGGGATTTTCCTTGTGACTAAAATATTGTGTAATTTTTAGTAACCTTCTGCTTATCTTTACTAAACGTGGTAGAAAAATTTATAACACGAATTTTCTAAGACATGTATAAAAAAACCCTACAATTTGAGAGAGAGAGAGAGAGAGAGAGAGAGAGATACAGACTAAAGCAGAGAGAAAGGTGAGACAGAGAGGGTAGAGAGAGGGAGAGAGAGAGAGAGAGAGAGGAGAGAGAGAGAGAGAGAGAGAGAGAGTAAAAACAAAGTGGAGAAAAGAGAGAGAGAGATAGACTAAGTGCTGAGAGAAAGGGCAAGGAGACAGAGAGAGAGAGAGAGAGAGAGAGAGAGAGTAAAATGTGCTGGAGAAAAGAGAGAGAGAGAGAGATACAGACTAAAAAGCAGAGAGAAAGGGCAAGGAGACAGAGAGAGAGAGAGAGAGAGAGAGAGAGAGAGAGAGAGAGAGAGAGTAAAACAAAGTGAGAAAAGAGAGAGAGATACAGACCAAAAGCAGAGAGAAAGGGAAGAGGAGATAGAGAGAGAGAGAGAGAGAGAGAGAGAGAGAGAGGAAACAAAGTGAGAAAAGAGAGAGAGAGATACAGACCAAAAGCAGAGAGAAAGGGCAAGGAGAGAGAGAGAGAGAGAGAGAGAGAGAGAGAGAGAAGGCACTTCCTCCTGACCTCATTCCACACAGTGCCTCACCCTTGGGTCAACAGAGGTCAACCAGAGGACTGTCTCCCTGTCTTACTTTCTCTCTCTCTATCTGTCTGTCTCTCTATCTCTCTCTTCCTCTTTTATTTGTCTCTCCGCCTCCTCCTTCTGCGTATATTTTTCTTTTTTTCTTTGTCTCTTTCCTCTTCCCCCGTCTTTTCTCTTTCGCCACCTATCTTTCTGTCTCTCTCCTTCGTTTGTTCTGTCTGTCTACTCTTCTATTCTCTCTATGTCTCTCTCTCTCTTCCTATTTTCACTCTCTTTTTCTTCCTCACACACACACACACACACACACACACTCTTTCTCACTCTCCCTCTCTTCCTTACACACTCTTTCACTCTAGCTTTCTCTTTCTCTCAGTATTATCAGGCCAGATGTGTTGGAATGTGGCAGAAGGTCTATGCCTACACACCTGTTAAAATACTCAACACACCTGTTAAAATACTCTACACACCTGTTACACATTCCACACACCTGCTAAAATACTCCACACACCTGCTAAAAAACTACACACACCTGTTAAAAAACTACACACACACACACACACACACTTTCTCTCACACACGCACGCACGCACACACACACACAAGTTGACCATCGACAATAACATCGAATAGTGTACACATTCATTACCGAGTGTACAAGGTGGAAGGTGTACAAGGACTAATGCACATGGGAAAGTACACAAACATATGTACAATTCGTATATGTCTGTTTGTGTCTGTACGTTCTGTTTGTACACATACTACACATACACCACATGTACGTGTTAATTAATTTTACGTAATTAATTATCACAATTCTCAATTATTAAATATAATTACTTAATACAACTAACTACCTGGGGTGAGTTTATTCACTAATTATACAGCTTGGTTTATAAGGCTCCTGTAATACACACACACCTGTTCACGGATAAACGGATCTTAAGGGGAGGTATACCTGTCCTGTCTCACCTGTGTGTGATATGTGACGCCACGTGACGGGCACCCTGGGTTAACTGTCTACCTGTGTGTGATATGTGACGCCATACCCACGTGACGGTCACCCTGGGTTAACTGTATCACCTGTGTGTGATATGTGACGATAGACCCACGTGACGGTCACCCTGGGTTAACTGTATCACCTGTGTGTGATATGTGACGATAGACCCACGTGACGGTCACCCTGGGTTAACTGTCCTGCACCCAAAAAAGATATGTGACGATAGGACCATGGATGGTCACCCTGGGTTAATCTCGTCTCACCCAGGTGATATGTGACGCTGACCTACGTGATGGTCACCCCACAATCTGTCTCACTGTGTGTGTGTGATATAGATGATAGATCTAATGACGGTCACCCTGGGCTAATCTGTCTCCACCTAAAGATATGTGACGATAGACTCACGACGGTCATCCTAAGAATGTTCACCGTAAAGATATAAAAGACGATAGACCCACGACAGTCACCCTGGGTTAACTGTCTCACCTGTGATATGTGACGTTAGGACTCAATGGATGGTCACTCTGGTTAACTGTATCACCTGTGTGTAGATAGGTGATGGAGAGACCCACGTGGCGGTTACCCTGCTTACTTGTCTTAATTTTGTGTGTGATATGTGACGCCAGACCACGGCGGTCACCCTGCTAATCCGTCTCACCTGTGTGATAAAGATGCCAGACCCACGTGACGGTCACCCTGGGTTAACTGTCTCACCTGTGTGTGATATGTGACGATAGACCCACGTGACGGTCACCCTGGGTTAACTGTCTCACCTGTGTGTGATATGTGACGATAGACCCACGTGACGGTCACCCTGGGTTAACTGTCTCACCTGTGTGTGATATGTGACGATAGACCCACGTGACGGTCACCCTGGGTTAACTGTCTCACCTGTGTGTGATATGTGACGATAGACCCACGTGACGGTCACCCTGGGTTAACTGTCTCACCTGTGTGTGATATGTGACGATAGACCCACGTGACGGTCACCCTGGGTTAACTGTCTCACCTGTGTTGATATGTGACGCCAGACCCACGTGACGGTCACCCTGGGTTAACTGTCTCACCTGTGTGTGATATGTGACGCCAGACCCACGTGACGGTCACCCTGGGTTAACTGTATCACCTGTGTGTGATATGTGACGATAGACCCACGTGACGGTCACGCTGGGTTAACTGTCTCACCTGTGTGTGATATGTGACGCTAGACCCACGTGACGGTGTTACAGATTCAGTGACGTGTCGTATCGTCCTGGGAGAAATATAACATCTCCGACCGTCTGTCCGCCCGTCCGTCCGTCCGCTGTCCGTCCAAGAGTTATAAAGGTGGTAACTGAAGTGACTAACGAGCATAACACAGTAATACCCGAGACCAGTTGAGTAATTAGTATCTTGGGTCATTATGGAACAGAGTTAAAGGCCCCTTGGACAGTTATGGCGCAGTGGGTAATTATTATTAACTGAACTTGTATACAATATTATGGATACAGCTCTACAGCGTGGTATGTATGTATGTATGTATGTATGTATGTATGTATGTATGTATGTATGTATGTATGTATGTATGCGAGTGAGACAATCTATACATATACAAAGGAACTATATTTGTAAACAATAACACAGTTGCATGTTGTTCACTCACACACACACACGCACACATACACATCAACAATACAAACACACATACATACACACATACAGAGAGAGAGAGAGAGAGAGAGAGAGAGAGACCTTAATCAATCAGTAATCATATCAAACACAGTACCGATATAAGAACCTCAAGTAAACACCAATATACCGCCATGATATTAAGTAGCGGGGAGATAAGTATACCGCAGTAAACAGGTACCGAGTGTAATATACCTATCAATTGTGGGGTATTTAACACGGGGGGAGGGGGTGGGAGATGGGGTACCAGGCGCCCGCGTTTACCTCCCACTAACACCCCTCCCCTCCCCCCACCTCTTGTGATTTTTTTTTCCCGTCGGTGGGGGAAAAATTATCGTTAAATTTCCCCCGTGTTTAGTTCCTGCTCGGCCGTATTATTTCCACTAGAGAGCATAGTTCCCCTCCCCCCCTCCCCCCACCTATACTTATGCCTTCACCGTGTACAAGTGCACCCCAGTCCTTTTAATGAGCTCAAAATTGATCTTCTCGTCGGGAAGAGCAAAATAAAAACAATCCCTCTGCCTCGTCCCTCCCACCGGATTGCACCTCGGACCAATCACGCGCGGTGACGATATCGCAGTGGCTGGTGATTGGCCGAGAGGATAGAGGCGGGGGCGGGGCGTCGCTGTTGGATGCTGCATCAGAGGCGGTGGAGACAAGGAGGAACTGTCTTGGAGCAGCAGCCAGTGAAGTAAGACTAATCTATTTGGGAGGGACAACGGGAGCCTTAGTGACCGCGGTAGACGGGAGAGACAGGCAGCCGCTCGTGACAGCCACGCGCGTGTGTATGTGTGTGTGAGAACCTGCTGCTGCTGCTGCCTGGCGAAGCTTTCAGGGCCCCGCCGCACGTGTGTGTGTGTGTGCGCGTGTGTGTGCTACCTCACTCCGCCCCGCCAACACACCTCTAAGGCGCATTGTTCCCGCGCACCTGAACCGAATACTCACTCGTCTGCCTGTCGCTTGAGCCGATACCTTTTTTGTTTAACTCTCGTTTCTCGGGATAACTGTGGCATTGTGAGGGAGACAAGAGACTGTATCACTAATGGCTCGAGCTCTGACGTTACGGTGGAATTAGCAATCTTTTATTTTAATTGGTCATATTTTTTTTTTTGTTAAAAGGTCGAGGGATTGGAGCCTTCACGCCTTTTCTCAAGTGATACGATAATTTACTCTCCGCTCCGACGATCACCACCACCACCACACCCAGTCAGCCAGTCAGCCCCAGGGAAATATGGACGTGAAAAAGGAACGCTTATCTCCACTCCACCACGGTGATGGAGGAGGTGGTGGAGGAGGAGGAAACTACGTCAATCCATCTGATATCTCCACCTCCACAGCATCCACTCGGCCTTGCGGTGGAGTGGTCGCCCCTCCACCACCACCACCACCACAACAACCACCACCACCACCACCGTCAGCCAGCGACCATCACAACAACCTCCACCATCACCATAGCAACAAGGCGTCAGGTGTTGTCAAGTCCTACCATCATCTGACAGCGGTCTCCAACAACTCCTCCCTCCCCACCGTGATCTCCACCACTTCCTCTTCACCCTCCCCCACGTCCTGCACCACCACCGGAGGAGGAGACCTGGGAAGGAGCACGGTCTCCAACAGAGGAGGAGGAATAGGGATACGAGTGTCCGTCGTTGGAGGAGACAGCGGCGGTGTTGGAGGACGGAGCCACCTCATTGTCGGAGGAGGAAGCGGAGACGACAGTATAGTGGAGACCGTCCTCATGCCCGGCGCCCCTAACTTCTCCGGGGAGATCAGTGACGCCGTCTCCAAGATCCTGGAGGACTACGACTGGTCCAAGATACCCCTGGCGAACAAGTAGGTTGACACTTCCTCTTGACACGCCCACACCTGTGTCTTAATCCCCTCTTCATGCCACCTGCTATAATGCCTCTTGACACTTACACTGTGTCCTAGCTTTCATGCGCCCTCGTGTCCCTAATAACTCCTCTTATTGTCTAATGCCCTCTTGACACGCCCACACTTATGTCCTAATGCTAACTTGAAACACCCACACGTGTCCTAATGTCCTACGAACAAGCCCACACATGTCCTAATAATATCCTTAAAGGCGTGTGTACTGTACGTTGCTGTTAGCGACACACCCTTACAAGTAGTAATTTTTTCTTGACACGCTTACTGACACACACTCCTTGACACGCTCAGACACATGTCCTAAAGTCTTCTTGACACCCAATAATACTTCTCAACACGCCCATTGATACTCTTGACACGCCTACTGACACTCTTGCCACGCCCATTGATACTCTTGACACCCAAAGATACCTCTTGACACGCCTACTGACACTCTTGCCACGTCCATTGACACGCCCATTGACACTATTGACACGCCCATTGACACTATTGACACGCCCTTTGACACATTTCCTGACACACTCAACGCTTATGTGTCAAGTTCCCACCATTAAGTATTTGACATATTTTAACTAATAAATTACTTATACCACCACCTGTTTAAAGTTTACCTTGACGCTATATTCTAAATCTAATTCAAAAATATCCTTAAACTAATATTTCCGACTCTAATTCAAAAGTTTCCCTGTTGTAATCATTCACAGACAAAATCGTGTTTTATATTAGTATTTCATCAATTTAAAATGTCCCTAAAAGCAGTATGGTCAATGTTCAAATCCTCATTCTTCAAATATTTCTAAATCTAATTCAAAATTTCGCCTTCAAAATCGACATTATCTCTTAACAAAATATACCAGCGGACTTATCAAAACATTTCCCCTTATTTCCCTAATCACAGAAGCTTCCCCTCATCGTTGTAAGTAACTTCAGGCTTACTTAAATCAGTAAAGTAAACAGCTGTAGTGACTTATAAGGCCAGATCTTTCCTAAACTCGCATTAAAGTTCAACCAATGCTTCAATTTCCACTAATATTCACCTTTATGTACCATTAAATCAGTATATTATAGAACGTTATACATCCCAATTTTATAACATATATAAAATTGCCCTATATTAATAATTTTATAGTTTTATTTTTATTTTTTATTTTTTATAACGATAAATTCATCGTATTTATATGTTTTCATTTAAATCATTATTTCTATTATATAAGGTTCTATTGTTCCTATCCCACATGGCTTGTTCCTATCCCATATGGCTTGTTCCTATCCCACATGGCTTATTCCTATCCCACATGGCTTGTTCCTATATTAGCCTTAATATATCACTACCTCCATATACTATAACGGGTCATAACAGTAATATAGTTCATTGGTTTACAGGGAATATAGATTTTTTTTTATCCGCATCGATATATATTCCTGAAGGCTACAGATGATCATATACGCAGTGACGCACACCCCATGTCCTGTCAACACGTGCAGATCAACACGTGCAGATCAACACGTCTCGCTGTCTACACTTTTCCTAATGACTACACACTACACACCCACCAAAATGGTATCTGAATTACACTGAGACTCTTACCTTAACTAGATACCTTCACTTAGTATACCAGTTAAGGGGACATAATTACACTGAGACTCTACCTTAACTAGATACCTTCACTTAGTATACCAGTTAAGGGGACATAATTACACTGAGACTCTACCTTAACTAGCTACAGTATACGTTCATTTAGCGTCAACGTAATTTTACAAGTTAATATCATCTTCCTAACTGGTAAACTAAGTGAACGTATCTAAGTACAATCCTAACTAATCCGGTCTAAGTTAATTCTCTATATCATCTTACCATAATAACTTTACGATTTTTTTTTATACATTTTTACATCAAGTTAATAAATTCCCGGACATTAATTACATTTAAACATTAGAATTTACGATAGAATTTATTTCCCGCTTAACGAAACTTTCAGAATCTAAACGTAAGGAATTCAGAATCTAAACATAAGGAATTCAGAATCTAAACATAAGGAATTCAGAATCTAAACATAAGGAATTCAGAATCTAAACATAAGGAATTCAGAATCTTTGTTTACACCTGCCGCCTGAACACACCCCCCCCCCAGGTTAAAATTACGAACCCTCTTACCTATCAAAACAAACACATTCCAACCCTCCATTTACCTCCTCCTATATCGATTATATATATCATATACTTGGAGGGGTTAACATAGTGTTTATATATATATATCTGTGATGTATATAGTTTGTGAATATATATATATAGATCTGGTTCTATTTTGGGTACTAGTTTGAGTTCTATTGGGTTGAGGACAGAAATGTTGTTTTGCTATATATTTTATCTATATATTTTCGCGTATTTGGTGTTTGGTAATGCATATATGGTGTTTATATAGTGGGATTTATATAGATCGGTGATTGTATTAAAATTGAGGAAAATAATATATATATATATATATCCCGATCTATTTAATATATTTCACAGAGAGTTTTGTCTGTTTGTTTCAGTTTTATATCGTTGAGGGGGTGAAGAAATTGGATCTATTTCAGTATGAATGGAAAATAAATATATCCACTCTCTTTCTCTCTCTTCCCCTTTCTGTCTCTTTCCTTATTCTCTCTCTCTCTCTCTCTCTCTCTCTCTCTCTCTCTCTCTCTCTCTCAAAATAATCCACACACTTGAATCTATACGACATAAACACTTCCTAAATGTTTATATATACACATATAATCTGGAAGTCATATAAATTTTATATCAATATAAACCATACGCGTTCAGAAGGGTTATAAATTGGGAGTTCTGATTGGCCGAGACAGAACTGGGTTTTACGTATTGCGAGTTCCCATTGGCTAAGATATTACGGATTGTAGACTAATAAGAAGCGAAATATTTGTAAGTGAAGTTTAAAGGCACTTAAATATTTGTAAGTGAAGCCTCGTGTCTGTAGTAAATCCCAAGATACAGGTAGCTTCATTAACACCTCACCTGTGATATGAAGTTAATTAACTAGGGGCGTGGGTGAAGTTCTAAGGGCGTGGGTGAGGTCTTAAGGACGTGGGTGAAGTTCTAGGGGCGTGGGTGGTCTAGGGGCGTGGGAGGTTCTAAGAGGCGTGGGTGAGGAGGTTCTGGGGAGGCGTGGGTGAGGTTCTAAGGGCGTGGGTGAGGTTCTGGGGCGTGGGTGAGTTCTGGGGCGTGGGTGTGAGGTTTTAGAGGGGCGTGGGTGAGGTTTTGGGGCGTGGTGAGGGTTTTAGAGAGGCGTGGGTGAGGTTCTGGAGGCGTGGGTGAGGATCCCTAGGGCGTGGGTGAGATTCTAAGGGCATTGGTGAGGTTCTAAGGGCGTGGGTGAGGTTTTGGGGGCGTGGGAGAGGTCTTAGGGCGTGGTGAAGTTCTAAGGGCGTGGTGAGTTCTAGGGGGCGTGGGTGAAGTTCTAGGGCGTGGGTGAAGTTCTAGGGGCGTGGGTGAGGTTCTAAGGGCGTGGGTGAGGTTCTAAGTGAGGTTCTAGGGGCACGTGGTGTGGGTCATATGACAAGCGTGTGACAGTCGGTGTTGATGGAGGGGGAGGGGTAGGGGTAGAGGGGTAGAAAGTGAAGAGAGGGTAGGTGATGGTGTTAGGAGGGGGAGGTTGTGGCGGTGGAGGGGGGAAGGAGGGGTGAGGTTGTGGTGGTAGAGGAGAGGGAGAAAAGAGAGGGGAAATTGTGGTTGTGGTGGTAATAATAGTGGTAGTGATAGGGGGTTAGTAAGAGAAATGCGATGGTGGTAATAGTGGTAGGATGAGATTGTGGTAGTGATGATAGAGTGCAGGTGGTAGTCATGATAACAATTGTGGTAGCGATATGTGGGGAATAACAAGGGAAGAATGATGGTGGTAGTAGTTATAGATGGTGGTAGTGGGGGTGCAGGGTGCTAGGTAGTGGTTGTAACAGTGGTGGTGATAGTAGAAGTAATAGCAGTAATGATGATGATGGCTAGTAGTAGTGGTAGTGATGATGGCTAGTAGTAGTGGTAGTGATGATGGCTAGTAGTAGTGGTAGTGATGATGGCTAGTAGTAGTGGTAGTGATGATGGCTAGTAGTAGTGGTAGTGATGATGGCTAGTAGTAGTGGTAGTGATGATGGCTAGTAGTAGTGGTAGTGATGATGGCTAGTAGTAGTGGTAGTGGCGGTATACAGGGGTAGTGGCGGTATACAGGGTAGTGTGGTATACAGGGTAGTGTGGTATACAGGGGTAGTGGCGGTATACAGGGGGTAGTGGCGGTATACAGGGGTAGTGGCGATATGGGGTAGTGGCGGTATACAGGGGTAGTGTGATATATACAGGGGTGGTATACAGAATGTGTGATACAGGGGTAGTGGTAGGGGTAGTGGCGGTATACAGGGGTAGTGGCGGTATACAGGGTAGTGGCGGTATACCCAGGGGTAATTAATGATATCTAAAGTGCAGTGGTATACAGGGGTATTGACCGGTATACAGGGGGGTAGTGGCCATTATACAGGGGTAGTGACGGTATACAGGGTAGTGACAGTATACAGGGGGGTAGTGGCGGTATATACAGGGAATTGTGGCGGTATACAGAGGTAGTGGCGGTATACAGGGGTAGTGGCGGCATGCAGTGACGGCATACAGGGCAGTGGCGGCATACAGGGGTAGTGACGGTATACAGGGTAGTGGCGGTATAGGTAGTGGCGGTATACAGGGTAGTGGCGGTATTTGCAGACAGTGGCGGTAATTCTAGTGGCAGTGTTAATGACGGCACCATAAACCTCACGCCATTACACCTCATAATCCACACTGTGTTTATCCCCCGCTCTTAGCCGCTGGGTGAGACAGCGTTATGCCTGCCTGTCTGTCTGTCTGTCGGGAAACACCAGCGTAACAATATTTTTGGTCTCTTAGGGGGAGGGAGGGGGTGGAGGGA